GAGGCGCACTTTTCCAGTGCCCCATAGAAGACACCCACAGAGGACACGCACGTCGCTCCCTGGCTCGATCGCCTCGGTCCCCTGGCTGCCGACCTCTCTTCTCCCCTCCTTCCAGGAGCGGGTGACCCCAGTCTCCACCCCCGCGCCGGCCGACCCCTCAGTACCTCCCGGGGCTTCCCAGTCTTCGCTGCCGGTCACAGCCCCTCCATTTGAGGCCCCTGTCCCGTCTCCCACTTCCTCTGCCTTCGGTATCTTCCTCCCGGTTCATTTTTCCTCACCCTCACCCTGTTGCTCTTCACTTCCCTCTCCGAATCCCTGCGTGTCCCCTCCTTGTCCCCCCGCAGATCCTTTTTCTGCCTCATTTTTCTCATTCTGAAGTTCTCTCCGCCCCTGGTCCTTGGACACCTTCGCTCTGCCCTGCTCCGCCTGGGCATCCTGCCCGCTGGGTTCCTAGCCTCAGTTTCCTTCCGGCCCCGACTCCTTCCTCTAACGGAGGCCCTTCCCCGAGGGCGGATGTGTGCCGGGAAGGCGAAGGCCGCAGCGGGCCGACAGGATCCCGGCTCAGCCCCGCGGGTCCCACCACAGCCATGCGACGCCCTGGGCGAGGCCTCGGCTGGATCCGGGGGACCCAGGTGAGGGCTGGGGTTTGGGGAGGTCGGAGCGGCGGCGCCGCGGGGAGCCCGGCCTTTCGCTCTGGGGTCGGCTCTGGAGCGTTCACATCGGGCCCCCTCGGGAGCCGGGAACCTCTCCCTGCGACTGCTGGTGCCAGAGCGGGTGCTCCCCGCGCCCTGCCTTCCCTCATCCGCGCTCGGGGCCGAGAACCCCAAGGGGTGACTCTGAAGCCCGCTCGGTGGAGAGGCTGCCTGCGCCTTCCCGCTGCGCGAGGAGGCCAGAGGGGCAGAGCGGGTCACCTGCACGCGGGGACCCTCGCCGCAGCTCGCCAAGCCCGGGAAACCTAGGCCTCTGCCACTTTGGTCCCGTGTACCCGAATGTGGGAGGGTTAGCGGGAGCCGGTCCTGCGCCTCAGGGACCTTTTTTTGGTAGCAGAGCTTGCTAGGGTTTCCCAGAAGGGCCGCGGAGTCTGGGCAGGACGAGGTGGTAATTACAGCCCGGGCTAGGGCGCTGCGGCTGAGTGGGATGGAGGCGGGCCAGCCAGCGCCTCTGGGGCCGGGGCCGGGGGGTCCTGGGAGAGGGCGCCCTCAGGTGGCGGCTCCTTGGGCCGCAGCGAGACCCCTCTGTCACAGCACGACCTGAGCTCCTGGCACGTTGGTCGTCTTTCCACTTCACCTGGATTAAATTTCCGAGATGGGGCCACAGCCTCACACCTCCCAATCTCTACATCTTTTCTTATCTTCTCCCTACACCTCCTTCCTTATCTTTCCCTCTCCTTTAACCTCCTTGTTGCTTTCTCGTCTCTCCTTCTCTAATCAATCATTCCCCCTTCAAACTGTTTTCCTTACGGCCTTTATCTCCACTTGAAGTTCTTTGGTATAAAGAAATGAACACCCCTAAATACCTTAAAGAGCGATGGTGACAAACACTCCGGAGTGACAGATGGAGAAACAGGGGCCCACACAGCCACAGTGCCTTACTTAAGGTTATACAGGTCGTACTAACAACTGGCATTTATATAGTATTTTGCGTTTCATGAAGAGTCATTTAGTATACTACCTCAATCTCCAGACAGTCCTTAAAAAAAAAAAACCTAACAGCTTTATTGAGATTTAATTTATATGCCCTAAAATCTACCCAATGTAGGTATGAAATGATTTTAGTATGTTTAGAGCTGAACAACCATCATCACATTTAAATTTAGAATTTTTCTAACACACCTTTTCAAAAAAATGTTCTGTCCATTTACAGTCTCTTTGAATTTAACCCTTAACCCAGGCAGGCACTGATCTAGATAACCTCTCAAAAATTATTATTCTAGGGCCGGGGATTTAGCTTAGTGGTGCCACTGCCTGCCTCGCAAGCAAAAGGTCCTCAGTTTGATCCCTAGAAACAGGCCCCCCAAATTATTCTGGTTTTATAGAAATTCTTTTGTTCTGTTTTTTGAGACAGGGTCTCACTATGTAGTCGAGACTGACCTGGAACTCACTATGTAGCCCAGGCTGGTCTCAAACTCACAGCAATCCTCCTGCCTCAGCCTCCCAAGTGCTGCGATTACAGGCGCGTGCCACCACAACTGGCCTAGTTTTATAGAATATTGACTTAACAATGAGAAAACTGAAATAATTTATCCAAGATCGTATAGCTAATGACTAATAGATTCAAGGTGGAATTTATTTATTTATTTAGGCATTTTGAGACAGGGTCTTAGTAGGCAGTCCGGGCTGTCTTTAATTTGATGTATAGTCCAGACTAGCCTCAGATTCACAGTCATTCTCCTGCTCTCGGTGCTGAGGTCACAGGTGTGCACCACTATGCCCAGCTTCAGGATAGAATTTAAGACTTTTCATCCCATTCTAAAACTTTTCCCACTAAAGGATAATACTTTCCTTTCACTGTCGTTTATTATTTTGTTTTTCTGTTTCTTTTTTTTGGTACCAGAGATCGAATTTAGAACCTTAGGCTGACAAGGCAGGCACAGCACTACTGAGCTAAATCCCTGGCCCTATTTTGGTTTGGTTTTTTTTCCCACTCTTCTACATGAACTTCCTTTTCCTAACCCATTCTCTTCCCTTGGGAAATGCTGAGGGATTTCCCTGAGTTTAAGAAAGCAGTACTGCATTCTGTCCTTGGAAACTCTTTCCTGTGGCCAGAATTCCTGGGGAGGTAGCAAGCCAGCTTAGGGCATGGTGGGGTTAATGGCTTTTGCTTCTCCTCCTCCCAGTCTTGAGGTGGGTCCCAGGCACTGTGCTGGCCTCTCTTCAGCCAGCTTGGGTGGAAATGGTGACAGAGATTATGTGGTACAGGCCAGGAAGGGTGGAAGCTGGGATGGTAAATATAGTAACTCCATGGCTGTAGCTGGCTCTTTCCCCTGTTTCCTCTGTAAGTCATCCATCTGGGTGATGGCTGAAAGCAAAGGGAGATTCTTCCTGGGTCCACCTCCCCAGGCCTCAGCTATCTCCAGTAACATTTCAGTAGCCAATGGTAAGTTTCTCACCTTTGCAAGGTGGCCAAGGGACGGGTATATGGGGACGTGTTAATACACGCAGGATCCTCTTTACAGTCTCAGGTACCAAAAACATGAGCCAGGGAAAGAGGGGCAGGTAGGTGGCTGAGAAACTCAGGTTCTGGCTGCATAATCTATTTTATCCCTGGTTCTAAGGGTCTTAGCTCCCCCAAACAGCACCAAGCCAGGTAGGAACCCGAGTCTTGCACTCTTGATAGTCACCACTGTGATTCGGAGCTGATTGTGTTGGGGTAAAGCTGATTTCTGAGGAAGAGAAGGTACAGGAGTTGAGATATACAGAGATGGCAGGAAAGGCTGGGTTTTCCCTGTGTTTGCTTTAAGAAAGCATCCTAGTAAGAAGACCCCTGGGAAAAGAGACAAAGAGAGAAGAGAAGGAAAGGTTGAGGAGCAAGCTTCTGTTTCAGCCGTGCCACCCACCCAGTGGCCTCTGGCTACCAATGTCTTTGGGTTTTGGACACTGGATTTTGTTCTTCCTACTAAAATAGTTTCCTCACCATGCATAAGGATCCAGATAGCTGGGCGTCAGTCTTCAGCTGCTGAGAACTGGGTTCTGAGTAGCATAGAGTAAGAAAGCCTAGAAGTACAGGCGAGGCTCTGTGCTTGTGATGGCCAGGGTCAGGACTGTTGTTTTGTGGTGTCTGTGCTGTGGCTGGAGGCTTGAGACCAGGCACCGCCTCTCCCCCTATCTCTGTAGCCTCCCCCACCTTTCCTTTACCACGAGTATGCTGGGAATGATGGTGGCTGGTGCTGTTCGTTCCCGGAGAACCCTGCCACAGAGCCACTTTCCTTCTTCCTTGCCCTTTCCCTCTCACCTGCTTTATGCTGTGTCCCCAGGAGCTCTGGAGCCCTAGGACCATGGATGCTGTCAATAGGAGCCATGTAGGCCCTGGATGCAAGACCCAGGCCATGGTGCAGGTGAGTGGGGTTGGGGCTGTGGGGCAAGAGAGCACTTCAGGTTTTCTACACACCTGAGCCTCCAGCTCCGGGATGAGAGCAGCAGTTCTGTTTCTCTGTGCCCTTCCTCTGGTCCTAAGCCTATTAAGAGCTCAGTCTTTATCTGAATCAGATTAATTGGTTCACCCAGAAACTCCTCTTTGAAAGTCAGAAAGCAGTTTACAGATAGTCGCTGGGCTGTATCACCTTGATCTGTGCCTCCACCCTCCCTTGTAGTTTAGTTTAGCAGGAGCAAGCAGCAGCCCTACAGATAGCCCCAGAAGAGGCTGCAGAGCTGGACTGGCCCCTCCTACAGTGCCCCCTCCACCTTCCCAGTACCCCTGTCTCCCCCACCCCTCCCGCCTTGCTTCTGTTCTAGACAAAGGGGCAGTTGAGCCAAGACTTGAGATAAATCCACTGGGACGAGTTAGTGGCCTAGATTCAGATCTAATTATGATTTAGGGGGATAATGCTCTGGCTAAGATTTTGTGCATAACCCTTCAGCACCCTCACAGCTCTTTGGAGAGGAACTGAGGCTGGAGAGAGTGCTGGTGTGACTGTGACCAGGGAGGTAAGGTGCTGGCCTGGAGTCTCTAATGATGCTCATTCTCCACCCCCATGACCTGCAGAAAGGACCCTTGGACTTGATTGAGACAGGCAAGGGGCTGAAAGTGCAAACAGACAAACCCCACCTGGTGAGCCTGGGCAGTGGGCGGCTCAGCACTGCCATCACCCTCCTGCCGCTGGAGGAAGGTAAGCGGACCAGGTGTCCTACCTGCCCACCCCCAGGCCAGGCCCCTGCTTGAGTTCGGGCCTCTTCCGCCATCTACCAGCAATGTTCCTCTGTGTCTGCCTTCTCTGGTTGGTAATCTGGCTCCATGACTGGGATTAAAGATCTGTTAGAAACAAGGAAGAGCTCTAAGAGAAACAGGAGAGCATACTGCTCTGAGCTACCTGTGTAGCCAAGAAGAAAGGGGGCCCACTCCCAGATGCTGCCTAGCCTAGGAGGCTGGGCTGGGGGAGCATGGAAAAATGGGAGCAGGGGCACCATACCCCAAGGGGAGCCCTGGCATGGCCCTCTCCGGCCCCCAGCTTCTACCTTCCCTCTTCCCTCCTGGCTGCACCTGTTGCCCGGGTGATGTCTGCATTCCCCACATTCTCCAAATACCAATCCCAGGGGCTCTGCCAGGGAGGGGTTTCAGGATGAGGCAGCACGGGAATGCTGGAGAGGGAGGATGGGTGGGATGGGTTGCAGGTTGCAGAAGGAAGGGAGGGAAAGAGATTTAGAAGAAAAGAGGGAGAAGTAGCAAGAAGGGGAAAAGGAGCATACAAAGGGGTGGTTTGGGGGCTAAGGGAGGTCTTTCTAAAAGAAGGACTCCTTCTCTACTCCCTCAGGGGAGTGCGGCTCCTGCGCCCTCCGGGCCATCCCACTCTGAGGCAGTTTTCTCTGCTTGAGCAGCGCTATCAGTTACTGGCTCACCAGGCTCAGGGGGCCCAGTATGGTGGCCAGTGGTGGGTAGAGCTAGGAAGTGAAAATGTATTTCCTCCTGTTCCTCCCTGCCTCCTCAGCCTGGACCCCTCTGACTCAGTTTGCTTCCTGTCTCCAGGGAGGACAGTGATTGGCTCTGCAGCCAAGGACATCTCCTTGCAGGGTCCAGGCCTGGCCCCAGAGCACTGCTACATCGAGAATCTGCGGGGTACCCTCACCCTCTACCCTTGTGGCAACGCCTGTACTGTTGATGGGCTCCTGGTTCAGCAGCCAACCCGGCTCACTCAGGGTAAGGCTTGACGCCCTCAAACTGAGGAAGGGGCCTCTGTTTCAAAGCTTGTAAATGCTGGGTGCAGGAGAAGCTGGCTGAAGTGGTTGCTATGGTAACTGCCTGAATGGCCATACTCTGTTGCTTCTCGATGTAACATTTCAACTCCCCCCACCCAGCATTCAGATTTGTCTCCAACCTGCCTTTCTTTTCTAGTTGCCCTCACCTTGCTTCCCTACACCATGGAGAAAGAAAGGGTTCAGATTTTAGTTGTCAGAGGGCCCTGCCCAGAGGGCTGTTAGTGGTTGTTGGGGGAGAGCGGGTAGAACAGAAGCAAGAGGGCGTCGTCATCAGTGGCAGGACATGGTGGCACACACGTGTAGGCCCAGCCATCTCGGAGGCTGAGGCTGCACATCATGAGTTTGAACCCAGCCTGGGCAACTTGGTGAGCCCCTGTCTCAGAATAAAAAGTAAAAAAGGGGTGAGGATATTGCTCAGCACTCCCTGAAGTCAATCCCCAGTACTGAATTAAAAAAAAAAAATAATAGGGAGGAATCAGATATTGTTCAGTGATGTCAAGAGGGAGTTGTTTGGGCTGGGGATTTAGTTCAGTGGTCTGCCGCCTGCCTCGCAAGCAGAAGGACCCAAGTTGGATCCCCAGTACCAAAAAAAAAAAAAAAAAAAAAAAAAAAAAGAGGGAGTTGTTTTGAGAAGGTGTAGAGGAGCACAAAACCCACTGTGGGGATGGAGGAAGAGTAGAATATGAAGGCAAAATTTGAAGACAAGCAGCCTGCTCCTGCTACAAGACTGTTAACAGTGACTTTTGGGTCATGAATATGGTAACCATGCTGTTTCCCATAGCACCAGGCCATTCTGTTGTGCAACGGAGGCCCTGCTGTGTAAGGGCCCCTAATTACTATGGTTACCAGGCAGGCAATAGATGGCCAGGTGGCACTTTGACAGGCCAGGTGTATTCACCCTGGAAACATTTCTGGGCATCGATTTATATATACAGCGAATTGAGAGATTAGGGGAGTGAGAAAAAGCAGATTTGGTTGGGGGTCAGAGGTGAGGTGAACATGAGGGTGTGGGTTCTGGGCTGAGCTCTGCTCTCATCAGAGGGACCCACTGGAGCCTTGTTTTCTGGGGACTCTCATTGCCTGGAGGGCCCCCCCACTCCGTTGTTTCCTAAGATCCTTCTGCGCACATCCCTTGACACCTTTACATGCCCATTTCTTCACAGCTGACCTAAGAACTGGTCAAACCCCACTCCTGCTCGCTGCCTTTGGGGTCGGGGCATTCAAGGATGCCCAGCTTGAGGGAAGCACCTTTGCAGTCCTTCTCCAGGGTTTCAGCGTCCCTAACTGGGGCTTTGGCCACAATGCTATCTAGTCCCTGTCTCAGAGAGAGCATGCATCCACTCCAGGGTTTGGGTGCATGCGGGCGAGACAATAGGGCAGAAAGGATGGGCAGGGCAGAGTTCAAAGTCGGCCCAGCCCTTACTGCCTAGTCCCCAGTCCCCTGGCTTCCGTGGGTAAGAGTATTCTCGTCCTGTGTGTGGCAAGCAGGATGAAGGGACTGATGTGATGCTCTCTTGTCTGGCCTTCCCAGCACATCTTTAGCTCTTGAGAAAAGGGAGGGCCTGAGGCCACCATGGAATTCTTAAGCATTTCCTGTGGCCCCAGTGACCCCAGAAGCCCACCCTGCCAAGTATGTACCCTCCCACTCTCTTCTGACCCTAGACTCCCTTTGCCTCCCAGCACCCTCAGCCTTCTAGTCTGGGCTCGCTGGGTTCTGAAGCTTGGCAGCCTGAGGGGGGTAGGCGGAGGCACAAAGGAATGGGTGTTCTCCCCAGCCGCCCCCCTCCCCTGGGCTCCAGGAGCTGAGGGTTTCCTTGTCTCATCTCTAGAGCAAGGCACCAAGCCCAGCCCTGCCTGGCCCCACTCCGGACATTCTTGGGAGTGCGTTTCCTTGGAAACTGGGTGGCTCAGGGGTGCATATGCTATCTCTGTGTGTCTCCATAACAGGAGTGTGTTTATATATCTCCAGATATTCTTGGGATGCAGGGCTTGCGCATCTGTTTGTTTGTGTCTTTCCTTGTGTTTATGGATAAGCATGTTCAAGTGGTTGGTGTGGGTGAAACGGGGACTGAGGGAACCAAAATGTCTGTGTGTACCCTTGTGTGTAGACTAGAACTCATTGGCCCTATGCCTACTTGTGGGTGTGTGTATAAGGGGGCCATATAGCTGGGTGTGGTGGCACATGCCTATAATCCCAGCACTCTTGGAGGCTGAGGCAGAAGGATCTCAAGTTTGAGTTAAGCCTGAACAAGCTAGTGACTTATCAAGACTGTTTCAAAATTAAAAAAAAAAAGAAAAGAAAAGAAAAGAAAAAGGGTTTAGGATGTAATTCAGGGCAAAGGCTCTGAATCCCCTGAGTTAAAAAAAAAAAAAAGGACCATCATTTTCTCTGCTTTATAGCCCTCATTTAGCCCTGTAGATGAGACCCTCCTCTTTGAAAACCAGAGGGATATCTTGGGAATAACAAGGCTGGCCGGGCCATGGAAGCATCATTCTGGGCATTGTGCCAGCCACAGACAACTTGGAGAGACAGTTATGACAAGCAGGGATGGCTGTGACAGGCTCCTCCAGCAGGAGTGTGCTTGGGCCGAGGGAGGAAGGACGCTGGCAGAAAGCAGATGCCAACCTTTAGCCTAGAGCTATGAACATGGGGGCATGAAGTGAGGGAGCTAGGGGAACGTTGGTTCCACTCCTGGACGCAGGCACTTGGCACAGCTCATGCTGCCCTCTTCTCTACAGAGCAAGGGGTGGGGCTGGGAATGGGACCAAGGAAATAAGGCCCAATAGGTCCAGGCTGCCCCACCCTGGCACTGCAGGCCAGACCACATGAAAGACTGGGGAGGGGACTAAGTAGGGGGGAACCCAGAAAGCCACACAGCTCAGGGCCCCAAGATGTCTAGACAGTTAGTCCCTATCCACTCTTTTTCTTCGTTAAGTTTATTGGTACATTTAAAGCAAACAATACAGTTCCATTTATCATTGGGATCTTGTACCTTTAGCCCCTATCCACTCTTGCCGTGTGCTGCCAGTCCTTGCCTGTAAGTGTCCTTTACTTCCTAAGCCCCTTGGTGGTGGGGTGGAGACTGTGGGGTGAGAGGAGGAGGGTAGCTCAGGAGCCAAGGTTCCTAGGTTATCCAGATGCCTCTCTTTGGGACCTAAGACACTGGGCCTCTCTTCTCCCAGCAGTTGTCAATTACTTCTGTAAACTGGGAAGAAAGTCTCCAAGCTTTCTCTCTACCGTAAGAAGTCGATAAACAGCTCAAATACTATAAAGCTCAGCTTCCCACACCCTTGGCGTTTCTCACTAGTGGCATTGCTCAGGCTGCCTGGGACTGTCCAGCTGGCCATCACAGTTTCCAGACCGATGAATCACTCTTCCTGAGGAGTATTTTTTTTTAACTTTAAAGCCTCCACTCATTTTGCATTTGACCCTATATGGGTCTTCCTTTTTTCTTTGGAAGGAAATGAGTTTTGTGGGCATATGTAAGTGAATGTACGTGTGTGTGTGCGTGTGTGTGTGTGTGTGTGTGTGTGTGTGTGTAGTATGGCAGTGTGAGTGGGTGGGAGTGTACTATTCAGCAAGGGTGGAAATTTTTCCTCATTATTTCTCTGTGGAGGCTTTTTATTTCAGTCTCTTCAAGGGCTGAGAGAAAGGACAGCTGTTCCTGAGTGAGTGCTGGAGCTGGGGGTGAGTGTATAAGAATGTGTGTGTAAGAGACACAGTGTGTATAATGAGGTGCTTTCGTTACTCAGTGTGAGCAGTGTTGGTGTGCCTCGAGGCACTGGGAGAACGAATATGGTGCATCCCTGAAGGTTCTGGTGGCGACATTCCCCACATAGGAAGGGCACCTCTACTACCTTCCTACACTAGAGGGTTTTGGGTGAGACCTATGCTGGAAGCACAGCTGGGTGTGGTAGTGCACACCTATATTCCCAGTTTGAGGCTGGGAGGCTGAGGCAGGAGAATTTCCTCAACTACGAGGCCAACCTGGGCTACATAGTGAGTTCAAAGCCAGACTAAGCTATGAAACGAGACCCGAGATCCTGCCCCTCCCCAGAAGCACCTCCTGGCTCTTTATCTTCTACCTCCTTTTCTTTTTTTTCTTTTTTGAGACAAGGCTATGAACTCAGTATGTAACCCAGGCTGGCCTCTAACTCACGGCGATCCTCTCGCCTCAGCCTCCCGAGTGCTGGAAGCATAAACCAGCGCCACCACGCCCGGGTCTCCATTTACCTCTCAGGGCTTCTTCCAGTGTCCCCTCCCTCAAACCTCTCTCCTCCCTGCCCCACTTTCCTCCGGCTCCGGGAGCTGCA